TGTACACTTACGTCTATGAATGTGTAGTAGTTTTTATCACGGCTATTGCTTCTACCTATATGTGTTATGAGCCGTTGCAGTTTCTGTGATATATAAACACACTGTTGCTGGAGCACTCTGATGACATCAAATGCACACACTCCAATCGAAACACGCTCACTACTAACTATACGATGGCATGCACTCAGTGTCCATGGGTTTATTACTACTCATATACATCGACCCATAGGACAAACAAACACACTACTAGCTATACCATGGCATGCACTCGGTGTCTATGAGTTTATTCACACTCATATACATCGACACATAGGACAAGCAAACACACTACTAGCTATACCATGGCATGCACTCAGTGTCTATGGGTTTATTCACACTCATATACATCGACCCATAGGACAAGCAAACACACTACTAGCTATACCACGGCATGCACTCAGTGTCTATGGGTTTATTACTACTCATATACATCGACCCATAGGACAAGTAACCCCGTACATAGCACAACCAAACCCGTACACGCTTAGTAAAAGCAACCCCGTACACGCTGCCTATACATAACCATACCTTGGTCTGTGTTCATGCTCATACTCGCATGTTCGTGCGAGGGTACTGTGCCTGTACCAAACAGGGTAGCAGTGGTTGTCATGGCAACCCGATATATAGTCCTGGCCACAAGCTCGAGTGTAAAGTACTGAGCGCGCCCGCCGTGTTCTATTAATAGACTGCACATCTCTTGCACGCTCGGCGACTGGGGCGGGTGGGTGTGGGTGTGTGTAGGTATGTGTGTTGGTTTGCTTGCGGGTATGGGTAGAGATTTGGGGGGTAGCATAGTCTCCCCTGTGTGTATCGAGGTGCGCTTTAGACTACCTCTGTCCGTCTGGTCCACCCCCTGGTAGGACTCGTCGTCACATCCGCTGTCGGTGTCATCACTGTTGCCATGGCAACCGCTCGCATCCGGCGTCCCGTTTTGCGCTGTGCTCTGTGTACCGTGATCGGCGACGGTGTCTGTGGGGCAGGTGTTCCCAATACAATACAAAAGACCAACCGAAGTATCGCGTTAATGAGAATACAAGCACACCCAATTGTGTACTGTAAACTAAACAGTGCCACTCATTAGGCGGAAGCACAGACAGCAACATTGTACACCATGCTAAGCCCGACATCGCATGCTACCCACCGACGCAAACGCACACACCACCCGTTGCTTTATAGCTCTCTTCGGAACCTCCAAAGTAAACATACGTGCACGCATATATTTCATA